GGAAGGAAGGAAGGAAGGAAAGAAAGAAGGAAGGAAGGAAGGAAGGAAAGAAGGAAGGGGGATGGGATGGAGGGAGGTAGAAGGAAAGAGAGAAAGAAAGTGGGAATTTCCCAGAGCTCTAAGTCTCTCTGTGTTCCTCTCAGGGTATTCATGAACATTTTAATAAATGTTCCTTGGCCTAAAGAGGCTAAATATTAAAATTAAGTTACTGACTTTGCTTCTGAAAAATATTATTTACTTGGCTTCTCAAATCTAGTTGACATTTTTTCACCATCGGGTGTACGATGCTGTAGAGAAAATAAGAAGCGTTAACTAAGTATCTCTCATCTAATGAACGTAACATGTATTTATTAAGTAGAAGGCTGAGGCCGCTAACAGCCAAGTACCCACCATGGAGGCCAGGTAGGCAGAGACCACAGACATCATGCCTGCAAAAGAGCATGGAATCAAAATCCCAAGAGTGCTTAGAAAACATGCAGCTCCCTGGGTCCCAGCCCAAATGTGAAAGTCAAGTTGTCTGGAGACAGAGCCAGGACATCTGGTTGCCTTCTTTGTCATGTTACCAAGTGGTGCTTAGGTTTTGATTTCGTTTTGGTGGTGCTGGGGATCGAACTCACACCTTGCACTTGCTAGGCAGCCCCTCTACCACTGGACGCATGCATCCAGATCTGTATTCACCATGGGTAGGGTCTCGCTTGATGCCTGGGCTGGCCCAGGACTGTAATCCTCCTTCTTGTACTTTGTACGTCACTAGGGATGATAGCCAGTCACCACTGTGCCCAGCCATTCAGTGAGATGGAGCCTTGTGCTCTCCCCCCACCTCAGGTGGCCTCAAATTGTGACCCTCCCCACCCACTGTCAGCCTCCCAAGTAGTTAGGATTACAGGTTTGAGCCAGAATGCTCAGCTTTAAGGTTTTTTTTTTCAGTGTATGAGGGATTTTCTTTGAAAACCCTAAGTTCCCGCAACTACTTCCTGTCCCTCCCAGGTTCACAGTGGAGCAGGAGGAATGGGGGCCCTATATCACATCTGTTCAGGGCCTAACTGCCAACAATAACGACAGAACCTACTGGCAACTTCTGAGTGGGGGCAAGCCACTCAGTCAAGGTAAGGAGGAAATGGAGCAGAAGGATCCACAGGTGTTCGTGTGTGAGGCTGTGAGCTTTTAAGGGGGAAAGGCCTTTAATGAGGTTGGGAGATATATACTATTTATTATCTGGTGATTCTGTGATTGGTCATTTGACCTAATTTTGTTTCTTCTTCTTTGCAGGGGTTGGTAGCTATGCTGTCCATAACGGAGACAATTTAGAGGTCCTTTGGAGCAAATACTAAACTCAGACCTTCCTTGGGATGTACCTTTTGTAGTGAGACCCACACAGAAAATGGTCTTGTGCCTTCCTGTTCATTTATCTCAATTCAGTAGGAGACTCAACTTCCCTTCCTCCCTCCCCCCCTCTGTCTCTGTCTCTCTGTCTCTTTGTCTCTCTGTGTGTGTGTCTCTCTCTGTTTCTGTCTGTCTGTCTCTGTGTGTGTGTGTGTGTCTCTGCTCAATAAAAAGATCAACAACTGCAAAAACAAAGCACGTCCTGAGTTCATTGGTGTGGGGGGGGATGCTAATGTGGAGGTTTGAAATAGTCTTCTCCTTCTCCCTTGCTTCCCTGCCTTGGTCACAGCCAGCTTAAGCCATGTCTCAGCTCTGGACTTTTGCTAGTTAGTTGGAGATACGAGTCTCTTGTATTTGTCTGTCCAGTATGGCTTTGAACTTTGATTCTGCTTCTCAGATCTCTCAAGTAGCTAGGATTACAGACATGAACCACTGGTGCCCAGCTCATTTTTTAAAAGGTTATTAGAGGAGATACAATCTCAGGGAGAAATGAAGTGAAGAGAGATTGGACCCCATGTCTAATGAGTGGGTCCACTCAGGGCTGTGTTCCTCTCTGTCCTTGGTGCTGGCTGGATACCCCCTCTCAGCTCTTCACCACATCAGCACACAACCTCACACCCTGTTTTACCAGAACAAGAGCAAGAAGAACCAGAGAGAGAGAGAGAGAATATAAGCAATATGGAAGTCAGTCCTCCATAACTTCAACCCATCATTCTTGCTGCTTTACATTCCCCACAAGTGTGGCAACTCGTACGACCCCAGGGGACTGTGAGTGAACATGAAGAGCGGGCACAGGGCACGGTAGAGGCCATCGAGCCCACCCCAATACAATCCCTGTGTTGCAACAACCACCAACTTCCCTAAGAAAGAAAACAGGGCTTTAGAGCTCACATCTTGTATTTGCTTGTTAGTTCGCTCACAAGTGCTGGGGATAGAGAAATGAAAATAATCCACACAGCTGCACCTCTGTGAAACACACATTCTAGAGAGGAAGGAGACACTAAGCAAGTGCACACGGTGTGACTGGGGTGAGGAGGGTCAGCAAGTGCAGGGCTCCCGGGGCCGTGGCGGGAGGAGGGGCCGCCGTGTAGGGATAGACCGCTCTCAGGGACTAGGCTAGAAAGGCCTCTCTCAAGGCTTCCCTTTGGGCAGAGACACCACGGCAGTGGGGAGTCCCAGTGAAGATATGTGGAAAGGTATTCTGGGGAGTAGGATGTCAACCAATCAAACAAATAAATAACCCCAGGGAATCTGGGCAGGGTGGTGCTCTCCTGTAATTCCAGTATTTAGAGACGGAGGCAGAAGGGTCACCAATCCAAAGCCAGCCGGGGCTACATAGTCTAAATAAATAGTAATAACTAAGTCTACAGTGAACACATACCTTAAGAGTTATCAAAGTTGCATCAGTTGGGCTGGGAAGGTGGCTCAGTGGTAGAGCGCTTGCCTTGCATACATGAGGCCCTGGGTTCAATTCCTCAGCACCACATAAGCAAAAAGAAAAAAGCCAGAAGTGGCGCTGTGGCTCAAGTGGTAGAGCGCTAGCCTTGAGCTGAAGAGCTGAGGCACAGCGCCCAGGCCCAGACTTCAGGCCCCATGACCGGACCAAAAAAAAAAAAAAGCTTCAGTTAAGAGATGTTGGGCTTTCCCCAAAGAAACATAGTGGAGGTGGAAGGGAAGGGATGGTAGGCGGAAAACAAAGGAGGAAGCAACAATGCTCAATAGGAAATGTACTCATTACCATGTAACTGTAACCCCTCGGTACAGCATTTTTACAATTTAAAAAACATACAAATAAAAAGAAAACCAAAAAGAAAAAGAGAGAGAGATATGCAGGGCGGCAAGGATTCCCGTGGCTAACTGCGACAACTGTGTCATCATCAGACTTGCCGCAACCATGGGGCCGGGCTTGACAACTTAAAGGAAGTGTACATTTAACAGGCGGGCACTCAAAGGCTGGGCGTGGAGGAAGGAACTCTTATACACACGGGTAGTAATAGAAATCAGTACAACCACTATAGAAATGAGTATGGCGGCTCCATGGGAAAAACCGAATGTAGGATTACCCTAGGTCCTGCTGGACCACGCTGGACATGTATCTAGAGAAATGCAGGTCAGGGTACAATAGAGGCACCTGCATACCAATGTGTATCGGAGTGCTATTCAAAACAGCCCCACACAGTGGAATTGGCCTAGCATAAACCAAATGAATAAAGAAAATCACACACACACACACAGAGGAATATATTCAACCATAAAGAATAACAAAATCACATCATTCGCTTGCTGGGCAGGGGTGATAGAACAGAAGGAGGAAGTGGGGAGGGGAAGAGGATGGGCTGAACATGATCAAAGTAAATTAGAGGCATGTGTGGAAAAGATGAGACTCCCTTGTACAAGTAATATACACTAATAAAAATAAGACCTCTCAATAGGAAATAAAAAAATAAAAGATTCCCTTGGGGCAGAGTCTTGAAGGAGATCCTGGGTAAAGGAGAAATCAACTGCAAAGGTGGCTGAAGTTTTCCCGATGCAAGAGAATATGCCTGGAGCAGGGTACGCAGGTGGAAAAGCTGTCAGCAAATTCGGTAACAAAGGAAAACAGAAGCCATGACTTTTAGAGTTCTGCAAGTAACTAAGAGGACTTTGAATTTCATCCTAAAAAATGGGAGTTCCTGGATAATTTCCTCCACTAACAGGAACTATTTAATATGCTGAAAAGAATCAGCCTTTTTTCTTCATAATTTCAGGACAGTGGTTACAATTCTCTTCTATGAGGAGGTATTAATTTGCTTTACAACATGTACTGGTTTTCAAAGATAATATTTTACCCAAAGGCCCTTGTTGTTGAAGGCTGTTTCCAATCTCTGGATAAGGAAAAACAAACAAAACAATGTGTCAAAATAAAAAAAATCCTTCAAAGAGTCTGGGCCAGAACCCAGATCAAAGTAAACTAAATTAACTGCATGAAGTCAGACTTTACCTGAAGGCAGAGATATCCACCTGAGAGGATAAAGCAAGGCCTTGGACTACCATATGGAGCTAATAAATACCTGACAATCAACCAAATGGAAATGAAGTAGTTGCAGTTAAACATCCAAGAGGCTATGTCATATGGATAAACCGAGAAAAACTAGAAGAAATCTTGTTGATACCAACACATTCCAAATGTCCCAATGTCCTGGAGGAATTACTTTACATTCCCCAATATAATAACCCAGAAATTTGATGAAAGGAAGTCTTAGTTTTTCCCCCCATTACTGGGAATCAAACCTACAGCCTTAGCTCATGATAGACAAGCACTCTATCACTGAGCTACATTCCCAGCCCTTACTTAGTAAGAGGCACTTCCTTGTCATTATGTTCGCAGGATACTCAGCCCCAAGTTTCTCCTATGATTGTCCTGCCTAGCAGTTGTCATCCATCAGACACCATAGAGGACTGCACAGTAGGTAAACTTAGATAAGCAAAAGGAAATTAATATATCAGAGTAGGTAAGGTCAGCATAGGTAGTGAGGATTGGCTGAGAGAGAACCAAACTGTTTGACAAAGATAAGCACATATAAGAAAAGGCAGACCTGTAAACACTGCTATCTTTGGACCAGGAGATGTGGACTAGACAGAAGAGTGCAAAATGGCCCGGCTTGCCCTCTGTCTCCTGAACATTCTCTGGATGATGGCTGGGACCAGAAGCCAGAGCTCATGCTGTGAGTATGGTGTTTGTTCTTAGTTCAGGGGTGCAGTTCTCCTGGAGAGAGGCAAAGAGAGAACTCACTACCCTAACCCCACCCTGTGGGGGTATCTGCTGATACAAATGAGCTTGAAATAGCCATAAGAGTTCCAGCCCGTCGGTCAGGATGCATATGTGTTCACCTTTCCTGACTTCAAGTACAAGTTCTCTGGCAGTAGAATCCATGGATTTTTTTTAACTAAGAAAGACTGAATTATGATTGCAGAAGTGATAGCTGGAAAAAAAAACAGGTGTTTGGTGACTTCTGACACTAGGTAACACAATCAGGGGGAGGTTTGGGTACTTGCTTAGGACATGTCCTATATCTTTAATATTCTTAATGAAAGAATTGGGAGTTAAAAGCCAATGCAAAAACGAACAAAAGCCCACAGTGATTTCCAATAAACTATAGAATTCATGTGACATGATTATGAGTTAGTAAGAGAGTAAGTTAAAAAAATAACTTTCTTAAAGCTAGGGGTGATCTGAAAGCGTGGAAAGGCTAACTGGCCTCAAAAGAAAAAAATCTCCGTATTTTGTGCATTTCCCTTCAATCTTTTGATTTCCGAAGTTAATAAAGTCTCCTGTTCCTAGGCATAAAAGACAGGAGAATCATGTTTTGAAGGAGAGGGAATTTGGGTTGGGGGATTAGTAGGTGTCCTTTTCTTCTCAGCCATCTCCTCAGACCAACAGCCCTGGATTAACAGCCTGCAAGCACACATGGAGAAGTCGGTGACTCTGTCATCCTTTCCAAACCCCAGTGTGCTGATTGCCATGAACCTGGTTGGACCACATGACCTGGAGGCCCAGAAGCAGCTGACTTACGAACTCATGGCCAGTGATGCTGCAGGTGAGACGTCGGAGCCCCCCACCCTGCTCCCTGCAGCTTCCACACACTGGCCATCCCTATCCCTTGGCTCCAATCTGGGGCATCTCTCCAACTCCCATGCTGCCTCAGATTGTACCTCATCACCTTGCCCTGCATACCTATGTGTGAAGGAAGTCAGAGCATCCATGGAGGAGGCCAGGGAAGTAGAACAAATGCCAACCTAGACCTAAAATAAGGAGGGGATTCCCATTCCAGATCTGCCACTTACTAACTCTGTGGCCTTGAACACGTCATTAGATGCAGCCCAAGTTCTTCTCACCCTCTGATCATAATCATAACAAAAATAACAATAACAGTAACAAGAAAGTATTCTGCCTGCTTCTCAGGAGTTGCCCTAAGAATTAGTTTAGGTTACTTTGCAACTTCAAGTGATCACAATTTATTTTTGCATGGGTGTTTTTGTTACACATCTAATCAGCCATCAGGGATTCTTTTCTTGGGTTTCATCAGGGACTCATCAAGTCACACAGAAGACATTCGACTCAATATTCTCTTACATATTTTCCATCTCTCTTTGGAAAGGACAAATGCAAGGACTATGTAAATATACTAAAGAGAATGATCTGGATTAGAAACAGACTGTCTTTGTGTCACAGTGCGGTTGGTTCTCCTCTCTGCAGACCTAACCACTGGGCAGCTCGCCCTCAACATTATGGCTCTCACCTCCTCCTGCCGGGACCCTGGGAGTAAAATATCCGTTCTACAGAAACAAATGGAGAACTGGTCACCTCCAAGTAAGACTTCATGGTGAGGGGGCAAGGGTGAGGCCCAGAGTCCTGTCTTCTAAACCTAGATGGAGGTGAGGAAAATATACACTGTCAGCTCTGCTCTGACGATCCTACCAACATGGCCAAATTCTTGGCCAAAATAAACTAGAAAAACCAACGCATCCAAATGCACAAAGCATCCCAGCTACTATCCATCTGGAGACATTGTCTCTCTTTTACTCAAGTGGCTGAATGACAGCCCTGTTCTGAGAAATACTCAAGTTACCCTTTGCTGATATCTTTCTTTGGGGACAGGTTTTTTAGTAATTAAATTGTTTTGGCTTCTTCACAAATGATGAATGTGAGCCTAATGGAGGTTCTTAATCCCTTTCTGAGAACCCTACTCTGACTCAGCCTTCTATGGACCCAGTCTGGCCATCTTGGCACTGTGCCAGAAAAACCCAGAGACAACCTTACCAACAGCCTTGCGCTTTGCCAAGATCCTGTTGGCCAGTTCCTCTTCCTTGAATGTGGGTAAGTAGATGACAACCCTCAGACACTGTCCTGAGCTGGGCACATCAGAAGGTCAGAGGGCAAAGAGGTAAAGCTGCAAGGGGAGGAAGGGAGGAAGACTTCCGGGGAAAGAAGGGAGACTTCCAGTGGAGGAAGAGCTGATGTAGCACATGCAGATGGGGGGGGGCACTGAACAAATGTTTGTTGGACATGTTAATTAAGGAACAAATTAAAGAAAAGAAGACACATGCTAATCCTAGGCAATAGTAGACAATAGTTGATACTAGATAACAGTTAATATGAGGACAATACTAGAAAGGACTGCCAGTAGTATCTCCAGTAGGAACAATATTCATGTTACTGAAGGCTGAAGTTGTTCTCAAAGTAAATGCTGCTATCTTTTCTAGCCCTACCCTGTACCCTCTCTTTCATTGCTACTAAAATTTCCATCCTCTACTTTTCTCAATATCTCCCACTGAACAGTAGTACTCTCTGACCCCTAATCCCAACATCCTGGGATGTTTAGGAACGCTTCTTTCACTCTGCAAGCATGTAATAAATCTACCTTTAAGATCTGGCCCAGCTACTTACTGGGTTGTGTGTCCTTGGGGCGCAGTTACTTTATTGCTTCTGGACCTTCATTCTCTTACCTGTTAAATGAAGGTCCTATTCACAGGGAGGGTCCTAAGAACTGAATGAAATTGTGTCACAAGAACATCATTAGCACTTGATACATTTCACTGCGTTGACTGTTGTGGTGGTGGTTCTATTTCTTTGTGATTCTCAGACACAGAAGCAGTGGCGACCTTGGCCTTGACCTGCATGTACAACAAGATCCCCATAGGCTCTGATGCAAGTTACAGACAACTCTTTAGCCAGGTGCTAAAGACTGTTGTGGAGAATATCAGCAGGAAGATCAAAGATAATGGCATCATTGGAGACATCTACAGTACTGGCCTTGCCATTCAGGTAAACACATCCTGGGTACCCTTGATTGAGCCCAGGCATCTGCTACTATGTCCTGAAACATGCAACTAATGTGACTTGAGATCGATGCCTGGGGTGCTTTGCCTTAGTTCCTCTACTAATTAACTGCAAGTCGAGATAATTCTTTCTTGGCTCATAGATAAAGTATGAAAACTAATCTATTTCAATTCATTTCCCTTCCTTGGAAGAAAAATAGAAAAAAATAATAAATCCAGGAAGCATATAGGTCTGTTGATTAATAATGATCAAGTTACTATTGAAAACTTGATGTATAAAAACTAATGTTAACACAGGTGCTCAGGAAATATTGAATTTTCTGCTTCAATCTTGCCAGCCCAGGTTTATTCTTCTCAGCCCTCTATCTTGATCCAAAACACAATCAGTCTATATTTAAAATGATTAATGAGAACAATCTACTGTTGACTCAACCTCACAAAAACTCTTAGTCTATAGCAGAGCCAGGTCCACACGTTAGCCAAGGCCAGCCCTGTGCTTCCAGGCTCAGATTCAATAACATGCTGCTTGGCAGCTCGAAATCCAGTATCCTCCCCTGCCCAGGTGAATGGTGTGGCATCCTCCATGAAAGGTAGGTGTATCTATGTGGGGAAAGAGAATCAGCTATAACTATAAACTTAGAAACCATAATCCTCTAAGCCAAACAAAAAGTTATTCCAACCCTGCCAGGCTACAGAAAGCCCAGGGTATCATTTGGTGCATGACAAAACACATGTGGTTCTCATACATTTCTGGTGGCCCGTGGCCTGTCTTCCTTATAGTATTAATTTTGTCTGGCCCATAAATTATGTTATAAATAATTGGTAGAAAAAAGATTCCCCATCCCTGCCTCCATATGGAAAAGTCTATCTCAATAAATCTTGTAGGATTAAGAAAAATATTGCACCATAAGCTTCCCAATTAAGAAAGCCTAGGAAAGAGAGAGTTCCAGTGTTTGGATGCCATCCCTAAGCTAATAAACATAAGTATATACAGAGATAGACAGACAGACAGATAGGTAGATAGACAGACAGACTATAAGAAGAAAATTGCTTCCTGAGAGAAAAAAGTAAATTGTCATTGGTGTCATCCACATTAAAATTTAGAGCATAAGCCAGGCATCAGTGGTTCATGTCTGTAATCCTAGCTGATCATACAAAAAGCATTGCTTCCCAGGGCTTGGGTCTAGAAAGCTCTGTGAAGAACCTAACAAACTGGGTGCCAGGGGGGTTGGGGGGAAGAAGAAGGGAGTGGTGAATGGTGACTCACTAAACCTTGGTACAGTTTCATGCCAGTTACAGAGTTGTTTACCTAATTTGGCTTGTGGCTACTATGGAGGATTTTCCGCACCTGCTAGGAAAGTTATACCTAAGAAAGTTATTCCTAAGAATTAACGCTCTCCCTGTCAAAGGGTAGGAGTTCATGTATAGCGGGATATCAGAGACCTTGTGGGTTTCTGGTCAGATAAGGTAGATAACCTCTCCTAACTCTCCTTATTACCATATCCAGGATTTATTCAGGCACTCCAAAATCTGAATCCACCAGGTGTTAATCTATCATCTTTGTCTAATTTCAAAATTGGCACTTGGATCAAAGAACTCTGGATCTATAACAACTTGGTTTTGAATCCCAGATCTGCCACTATCTTAGATAAATAAAGATTTTTCTCTGAATTTTATTTTCCCACAATAACAAGATTGCAAACAAGTAAAAAGACAAAAACAAAGAAATCACAGGTGTGGTGACTGCTCCAAAGGTAGGCAGGAATTACCTTCTCTAGTTTAGCCATCATATATAAAGCTCCTCAATATTAGGTCACTTTCTGGATGTATTAATCCAGCTGTGTTTTGCAAGGAATGGAAGCCAAAGTCATTTTCATATGATAGAAAGAACGAAAAAGAAAGAAAGAAGATGAGGGGAATTTACTATTTCACATACACTTAGGAAATCTACAGCTAGATCAGGTGGTCTTAAGAATGACCAAAATAAAGAAATCAAGTCATGATCCCAGGGACTGACCCCTTTTTACTATTTAGCCCTTTCCCCTCATTTTTCCCCCTGCAAACATAGCTTTTTCAAAGTGGTGGAGGAAGATGGAAACTTCAGCAGGAAAAGAAATCCTTCTCTCCCAATGTCTTCACTTGTTGGATGGACTGATGGGTAACTATCTCCACCAATCAAATGTCCTCAGTGCTTCACTGAGACCAGCCCATCCCAGACCAGGACTCCACCCCCATGGCCAAGATTTGGGAGCCTCTGATTTGTTTGGCAACCTGTGGGAGAAATCTACCAAGGGATGCCCAAGGGGACACCTATCAGAGGCCATTTAGTGCATGTGTACGGGGCCAGCTTGTTTTCATCTGTGCAGCAGCCAGAATAGCGTTCCCTGATCTTCCTCAGTGAACAGCCACCTGCTCTATGACAAACTCTATGTGACAGAGAGAGTGCTAAGAGGTGGACACATAAAAAGGAAAAGACACATCATTCCAAACTTTGTGGCGATCAGTTTGGGATTCTGAATGCTCACACAGATTAGTCTAGCCCTCACAAAGGGCCAATCCTCGGCTATCACCAATCTCTCTCCCCATCTATCCCAGGCCCTCTCCGTGACACCTGAGCAACCTACCAAGAAATGGGACTGTAGGAAGACAATGGATACAGTACTGGAAGAGATTAAGCAAGGGAAATTTGACAACCCAATGTCCATTGCCCAGATCCTGCCTTCCTTGAAAGGGAAGACATACCTAGATGTGCCCCAAGTGATTTGTGTCCCTGGTAAGCATGTGCTTTTTTTTAATTTTTATTAATTTATTTATTTTTTGTTGTTGGTCGTGGGGCTTGAACCCAGGGCCTGGGCGCTGTCCCTCAGCTCTTCAGCTCAAGGCGAGCGCTCTACCACTTGAGCCACAGCGCCACTTCCAGTTTCCTAGTGGTTTATTGGAGATAAGAGCCTCACGGACTTTCCTGCCCAGGCTGGCTTTGAACCATGATCCTCAGATGTCAGCCTCCTGAGTAGCTAGGATTACAGGCGTGAGCCACTGGCGCCCAGCACATGTGTTTTTTAATAACTGCCTTTTCTTCTGTCATAAAGGTACCATGAATATGTATATCAATGATCAATGGCATATAGGCTTGTGGGGTCCGTTTCTCTCAAATGTGGCTAGTACACAGAGCCAAACCCTCCATCCCCTTGTCTTCTTCATTATACACTTGTTGAAAACCTACTGTGGGCAAAACATTTATGAGACATTAGGCAAAGGGGAAGGCTGGTGTTCTCAACAACAACATAGTTTCATTCATTCATTTGACAAACATACCACCAAACATCATGCTGCCCTCTATCTAGAGTCAGGAGATATGGATAGAGACACATACAAACAATACTTCAAATGTTGAAGCAAATAGCGAGTCAAAATTTAAATGATACACATTACAAAAGCCAAAAGAAACAATGACTTTGTTGAATGGCAGCTCCTTTGTACAACTAATGAAAGATAAGGAAAAAAATACTAAAATCAAATTTAAAAAGCGATGGCCAATTATTAATTTTATGGGAGAAAGCTAAGGAAACTGTTAACATTTCTGCCAAGCCTCAAGGACTTGATTATGAAAGACTGGTTCTCATAGAACACTAAATGGGTGGGGCAGAAATCTAGCCTGCTACTTTTTAATATCTGCCACGCAACCATAAATATACTTTGGAATTATTTAAACTTCAGACATCGCAGAAATGTACATGCTCCTTCAAAACTAGTCTTTGCATTGGATGGGTCCAACTCTTCTTTCTAATCAAATACTAACATAATGTTTTATTTCTCTTACATTGCACTAACCCACAAAATAGTAAGGGATTATAATCCCATTGTATAGTTCAATGTAGAATCCACAGAAATCAACGCCAAGCAAACTGATCCTGATGATATCAAGCACTACACCCACTCGCCTAACTCCCCAAGCTACTACTTGCCTGGGAGTCCCTACGTTTGAGAGTCTTCACCAGGGTTGTGGTCTAACTGTCAAAGCACTTGGTTACAATGGTCTGAAAGTCACTAGTCACTGTAATGTTTTCTAGGATAAGTCGCTGATAGCAGTGACTTTGAACATATAGACAAATGAGGCCACTTTTTTTTTTCCTCTTCACAGATAATGAGGTTCAACCAACTCTCCCCAACCATCCTAACCCGGTCCCCACCGCAGCATCTAACATCACGGTCACCTACACTATCAACAACCAGCTGAGGGGCGTAGAGCTGCTCTTCAATGTGACCACGGAGGTCAGTGTGAAGGGTGGATCCACACTACTTGTTGTCCTGGAAGAAGCACAACGTAAGAACCCCATTTTCAAGTAAGTGCTGCAGGTGATGTGTGCCATTCTCCCTTAACACAAATTCTTTCTCTCTTTCTACCTTCCCTGTGTCTGTCTCTCTCCCTCCAAAGAAGCTATTCTTTTTCTTGAACAACTTCCTCCCTCCTCCTCCTCCTCCTCCTCTTCCTCTTCTTCTTCTTCCTTCTTCCTTCTTCCTCTTCCTTCTTCTTTCTTCTTTCTGCCTTCTTCATTTGCTTACTTTTCTTCCTTCTGATATCTTAACATATTTTTATCCAATAGCCCCTTGAGGGACCTACAACCTAGTGGACAGAAAATGCAGCTGTGTAAAACCACACAAGTCAATACATGATGGAGTTTTAATAGGAGCATTTCAAGGGAGTGATAGTTCGTTGTAGATGCAAACAGCAAAAGAAAGATCTGTGTCTCTGGGCTCCAAAAAATAGGTACTATTTAGGAAGATATGTGAATGGGGTCATTCTAGGAAGAAGAAATTGCTATGACAAGCCAGCAAGAGCAAACAGGGAATTTGCAGCCACCGAGTTTACTAGCCTTACTAGAGGACAGAGTAGAGACCTGAAGGAATCAAGTGATGTCTGGAAGTTGACATCCCATGCTGAGACAAACCTCCCCATAGCAGAGAAGCACTACAAGTGCTTGAACACAGAAATTCATGACACAGACTGTTACGAGGATTGTGATCAAAGGAAGCAGGGAGAAAATGGAGGCTGTGCTGGCAGTGATAAAGCTGAGACTTAATGAGGAACTGATGGAGGATGACCAGAGGTAGAGATCAACGGAAATCAGCATCAAACCACCAAAAGCAAGTCAATGCAAAGGATTTCTTTCTGGGGCTGGGGGTGGGGAGGGGAAGGAAGGGAAGAGATTTAATTCTTTGAACTTACTTAATTATGGTTGTTCAAAAGAGATACACTATAAAGCTTTTGGAGAACATCCTTGGAAAAATAGTCAAAGCAATCAAGAGAGTGTCATCTGAACACCCATGTGACGAAGCCATACAGGATGGGCCAGGCACCAAGAAAACCATCAGACCCTGCTAATGAGTCACATTTTAACAGACAGAACACTTAGACCCCATGAACTTAAGGAGATAGGCCTACTATGATTGATAGAAATACTTTCTCATACATAGGTGGAGGTAACTCACCATTTTAAGGTCTTCACCAAACCAAGCAGAAATAAACATTTCCAGATAGATTTTCATGGGCTCCAGGGCACATACGCACAAAATTTTCTTGCTACCAAAATTAACAGACACCTCTGAAATGTATGGATTTTTAAATATACATAGAAAAGCCTATATTTTCACTCAGGTGAGAATACACACTTTGTAATTATTTTTAAAATCTCTCTTTTTTAAAAAAAAGCTGGAAGTAGAGTTGTGGCTCAAGTGGAAGAGCACTAGCATTGAGCAAAAAGAGCTCAGGGAGAGGGCATAGGCCCTGAGTTCAGGCCCCAGGACATTCTCTCTCTCTCTCTCTCTCTCTCTCCCTCCCTCCCTCTCTCTCGCTCCCTCTCTCTCTCCCTCCCTCTCTCTTTCCCTGTCTCTTTCTCTCTCCCTCTCTTTCCTTCCCTCTCTCTCTCCCTTCTTTCCTCTCTCACACACATTCATTTTTAATATAATTTAACTCCAGGTGATAAAATTCCATATATAGTTCTCCTTTGCATTTTCTCTTTAGGTGATAACACTTTTCCTGATCTTTAAGGCATTTAGAATGTCCCCATTCATCATACCTCCTTGTTGTGTGACCTAAACTGAGGTACTAACCAATTATGACTTTATTCTCAGGTTTGAAACCACAATGACATCTTGGGGCCCCATTGTGTCCTCTATAAATAATATTGCTGAAAACGTTAATCACAGGACATATTGGCAGTTCCTTAGCAACGAAACACCTTTGAATGAAGGTAAGAGAAGAAGAGGGGTGGGCATTTTTCCAGAGTCTGAAAGACATTCAACCCTGAGCCACATTCCCAGCCCAAAGGACTTGTAAAGGATTTGTTTTTGGTTGGTTGTGGGGCTTGAACTCTGGCTCTGGGCAGTGTCACTGAGCTCAGCTCAAGGCTAGTGCTTACCAATTCAGCCACAGCATCACTTCCCTGTGAGACCGTTATCTCCAATTAACTATCAGAAAACTGGAAGTGGTGCTGTGGCTGAACAACAAAAAAGAAAAAAACATTCTTGGGAATTTAAATTAGGTTTATATTCATGTCTCCTAATTACCTTCCTTTTCTAAGAAGGAAGAATGGTAAAGGGAAAGGTCTCTGAGATGCAAAGATTTGAACTTGAAATTGTCATGCCTTTTGTTGTCTGAGCTGCTTGAAAGATACTGAAGATTCTCATCACTTATCTTTCCTGTCCTGACAAACAAGATCCTCAACGCATTGCTTTCATTTCTTAGACTCCCTTGAATTTTCTCAGTTTGGCTTTTTTCAAAAAATAACACCTATCTACCATTCCTGTCATTCCTTCTAACTTTGAAAATATTTCTTCAGAGAAAATATTACTAACAAAATTTTCTATGCAATGAGAAAGAGGCTGGAATATCTTTTCAAATGTATTAGTGAATGTAAAGCCTTCATGAAGTTAAATGAATCCAGTTTCAAAAGAAGCACCATGTACAGTCTCAAACAGCTGAAAGTACAATGAGCTCTATACTTTACAAAGTACAAAAAATTATTTCATATACAAAGAAAAATAGAAATAATGTGCGAACCCTATTTCTCTCAGGTTGCAAATTTATAAATATGATATATAATATATATATATATATATATATATAATGGAATTCTACTCATCCATCAGAAAGAATGGTACTATCTATAAAGAAATGGAAAGACTTGGAAAATGCTATATAGTAAGCAAAGTAAGCCAGAGACAAAGAAACATAGGCTGCAGGGTTTCCCTCATTTGTGGTAACTTGATGGTGCCTATAAATCTACAAGCAAACACACTGAATGACCAAAACAAATAAAGAAAACTGGAGCATGATAAATTATATAAGACCCAGGCGGGGGTGTGAGGGGAAGGGAAGAGGGAGGAAATGGGAAGGGATGGGAAGGGCAAACAAAGGAGGAGGCAACAATGCTTGATAAGTAATGTACTCATTATCTTGCCCATGTAATTGTAATCCCTATGTTCACAATTAAAAAATATATATAAGACCCTAGTCATTAATATTCAGAGGTCAAAGGAGGCTAAGCATAGGAGTAGTGGGCAAAGACAATATCTATGTGCAGATGATTGTATAAAATAATATTCTATGAAATGAATTCCAGATAAAAGAGACATTCTTCAGTTGCCATTGTTGCTGCTTTCATTCTCTTTTCCTTTTGTTTTGTTTGTTAATTTGTTTGTATTTGGGAGGGTAAGGAAGGGCACATAAAAAGTGGAACAAGGATGAACAAATGCAACAGTAATACTCACCAGAAACTATGTAGAAAATGAACTGAATGTGTTATGGGTAGGGACAAGAGGGAAAAGATTGGGAGAGAGCAATGAATGGGGGAAAATGATTCCAAAAGACTTGTACCGATTGTACCTGATTCACGTAACTGTAACCCCTCTGTGTATCAACTACACAAAAACAATTTTTAATTTAAAAAAAAATTCTGGGGGCTGGGAAGGTGGCTCAGTGGTAGAGCGCTTGCCTTGCATGCCTGAGGCCCTGGGTTCAATTCCTCAGCACCACATAAGCAAAAAGAAAAAAGCCGGAAGTGGCGCTGTGGCTCAAGTGGTAGAGCGCTAGCCTTGAGCTGAAGAGCTGAGGGACAGCGCCCAGGCCCCACGACCGGACCCAAAAACAAAAAAAATCTGAGCAGTTAAAAAGAGTTCATATTCATATTATTCCCCAATTTCTCCTATAGTAGCACAGTTCTATTTTCTCTTATGTCAATAGTTTTGTTTGAAAATCCGATTTGAATCTACAAAGAAGCTTCTATTTTTATTTTAATTTTTTGTAAAGGTGTTGCACAGAGGGGTTACATTTACATCAGTAAGGCAATGAGTATAGTTCTTGATGAACATTGTTACCCCCTCTCTAATGTGTCTACCACTTTCCCTTCTCTGCCAGCTGTCCTACTGCCCCAGCAAGTTGTAAAGTTCATTTCTAACATAGTGTCTTGTGAGCATTGCTGTTGCATTGGTTCACCCTTTAAAAAAAAAAAAAAAGAGTGCTTTCATTACTGAAGTCTTATGAATTGATCTGTTTGGTTAGAAGCTGGACTACCATAAAGGGCACACACACACACACACACACACGTGACAAAATGGCATGGACAAAAGAGTTCCCTAAAAAAAAACTCTCCAGCCGGGCGCTGGTGGCTCACGCCTGTAATCCTAGCTACTCAGGAGGCTGAGATCTGAGGATCGCGGTTCAAAGCCAGCCCGGGCAGGAGAGACCGTGAGACTCCTATCTCCAATAAACCACCAGAAAACCAGAAATGGCCCTGTAGCTCAAGTGGTAGAGCGCTCACCTTGAGCTGAAGAGCTGAGGGACAGCGCTTAAGCCCAGAGTTCAAGCCCCATGACCGACCAAAAAAAAAAAAAAAAACTCTCCACCCCATGTTTCTGCCAGATTAATTAACCTGTTCATCTCTCCCTAGGATGGATTAACTCCTAACAAATTTGATGAGCTGATCCTTTAGGGCATTGGGGTTCCAGGTACCGTGTTCTTTTCATCGTATTCTCTGCTTCTTTCCAGGGGTTGCCTATTACATACCCTTTGACCTGGAGCACATCTTGGCAAATTTCACTGAGTACTGATGAGGTGGGTTCAGTTTCTCCTGAGCATTTCCCAGTGCACTGGAGAATTTTCACCTGATTTCAAATACATGACCTCCCATCCCCACACACACAAAAAGAGGCTATGCACAGTGCTACTTAACTCCTGGAGAAAGCCACAATGTAGAATAAATGATATGAAGGAGCTCCCTGAGTCTTGACATCTGTTACTCATGAAATAAAATTTACAGCTTCTCAGTTCAATGACCACCATCATTATCATGTAAACCTAGGATGAGGGAAAAGGAGAGTTCCAGAGTTCTTGTTGGAGATCATTCTCATCTTCCCTAATTTATAAAATAAAATGATAAGTATTTAAATCTACCATTTCTTCTATCAAGTCCTCCTTTTCAAATCTCCTGATATGAACATATATGCAGACTTATATTCATGAAATGACTGAAATTACCCCAGATGTTAAATCTAGGGTAGTTCAAAGCTCTTTCATTTCTGATATTTGTTTTTCTCTCCTCTTCCATTTCTAGTATTTGTTCTGGATGAAATTGAGTTTAAAATATATTTTTACACTTAGGAGGTGGCCAGGGGATCTCAAATTCAAGGTCTGGGTAATATTGTGAGTTCAAAGCCAACCAGAGCTCTAAACTGAGACTGTCTTAAAAACAGACATGAACTAGGAAGCTAAAAAGGCAAATATCCTCACGTGGAAGCTATGCGTGTGTGCCCGCATGCACGCACGCACGCACGCACACATACACACACACACACACACACACACACACACACGCCTGTAATCTGTCCTACTAGATTCACTTCAAAATTTCCTATAACCCTAATTTTCTACTCAGTTTTCATTTCAATTATCTTTGTGACGATGACCTGGGTGTCTCCTGTCTCTGATCAATTCCTACCTCCAGGTCATTGAGCAATAGTAAGAGGAAGCCATCAACAAGAGGAAGGATTAAAACACCTGACTTGTTTAAATGGGGGCACAAAGGTACTGAAAATGCTCAACAAAAATTGAGAAAAGTATATGTCAGGGAGAAATCTAACTTTACCCCCTTTAGGTTTTTCTTGTTATTTTACAGTTTTGATTTATACCTTTCTCAAGGCCAGTCCCTTATGCCAGGACCATTTTTGCTTACCAATGTATCCCCACCAATCAGCCCAGCACATAAAAGTGTACATGAAATATATTATTGCTGGGGGCTGGGAAGGTGGCTCAGTGGTAGAGTGCTTGCCTTGCATGCCTGAGGTCCTGGGTTCGATTCCTCAGCACCACATAAGCAGAAAGAAAAAAGCCGGAGGTGGCGCTGTGGCTCAAGTGGTAGAGTGCTAGCCTTGAGCTGAAGAGCGGAGGGACAGCACCCAGGCCCAGAGTTCAGGCCCCACGACCAGACCCAAAAAAAAAAATATATATATATATATATATATATATATATATATTATTGCTGTTCAGAAAGACAAAATCGTTGAAAAAAAAAACATTCTGCAACCAAGCATTGCGATCCCACAAGTGTGGAAATGCATGCATAGAAATATCATTCTGAGCACTTCCCTGTGCGACTAACATATGCTGATAAAAAAGATACCTCAAGCCAGTCATCTGTGGCTCGCACCTGTAATCCTAGCTACTCAGGAGGCTGAGATCTGAGGATCATGGTTTGAGGCCAGTCTGCACAGGAAAGTCTGTGAGACTCTTATCTCCAATTAGCCACCAAAAAGCCATCACTGGAGGTGTGGCTCAACTGGTAAAGTGCCAGCCTTGAGCGAAAAAAAAAAAAGCCATGCAAGAGAAGGAGGCCCTGAGGTCAAGACGCAGTACCTACCATACATTTCTTTTCTGTAGCTAAATGTGAGAAAAAATCTGAACTCAGAATCAAAAGATGTTGAACAGCTGGGCACCGGTGGCTCAAGCCTGTAATTCTAGCTACTCAGGAGGCTGAGATCTGAGGATCGCAGTTCAAAGCCAACCAGGCAGGCAAGACCATGAGACTCTTGTCTCCAAAAAACCACTCAGAAAACCGGAAGTGGTGCTGTGGCTCAAGTGGTAGAGCGCTAGCCCTGAGCTGAAGAGCTGAGGGACAGCGCCCAGGCCCAGAGTTCAAGTCCCACGACCAACCAAAGAAAAAATGTTGAACATGTGTGTGTATGTGTGTGTGTGTGTGTGTGTGTGTGTTTGTGTAAACAAGCCAAGTGACTGGGTAAGTCTCACGCTAAAAAAAATCAGTTTCTAATCTATAATGAGTACGGTGACCAAAAATTGTCTCCAAAGTCTTTTGTATTGGAAAAGTCTTAAGCATTGCATTTTTCCAGGCATAGAAGTATCTGCCTGTAATCCCAACACTGGAGAGGCAGAGGTAGGAAGATTGGGAGTTCAAGGCCAACCTGAGTTACATAGTGAGATTTTGTCTCAAAGAGAAAAAAAAATGTATCCATGAAGTGATGTATATTGCTTATAATATGCTACCTATCCAAACATACTGAATGTAATATAGAAAAATGAAAGTGTAAACTTCCCCTTCAATCATAACTATATGAGAATGTTTATATTATATAACAATAATGCTCTAGTAAGCAACTGTTTCACATTCAGTAGTATTGAAAAAAAAAAAACACTTTCCTGACCTCTCCTGGCCACAGATGGTAAAGGCAAAACTTTCTTTAGAGGAGAGGTCAATAATGCATAACCTTTTTGTTTGTTTGTTTGTTCTTTGTTTTTTGTCGGTCATGGGTCTGGGCACTGTCTCTGAGTTCTTTTGCTCAAGACTAGTGTTCTACTACTTTGAGTCACAAAACCACTTCCAGCTTTCTGATAGTTAATTAGAGATAAGAGTCTCAGAGACTTTTCTGCCCAGGCTGACTTTGAACCTCAATTCTCAGATCTCAGCCTCCTGAGTAGCTAGGATACACCAATGCATAAGCATAAGCATAAGCATAACAGGGAAGAGTGAAAATTGGTAGCAAGTATCTTTTCCCCATTTAAGAACTCTGCAAGTCCCGGCCACTCAGAAGGTAGACATTGGAAGGCTCATAGTTTCAGAACAGTCCCTGCAAAAAGCTAGCAGGACCCCAATGGATAAACCAACATTAGGACTGGATGTGGCTTAGTGGTAGAGTGCTTGCCTAGCATGCACGAAGCCCTGAGTTTGATTCCTCAGTACCACATAAACAAAAAAGCCAGAAGTGGTGCTGTGGCTCAAGTGGTAGAGTGCTGGCCTTGAGTAAAAGAAGCTCAGGGACTGAGCCCAGGCCCTGAATTCAAGCCCCAGGACTGGCAAAAAAAACAAACAAACAAAACAGACAGCATGGTGTGTACTTGTGACCTAGGCTATCCAGAAGACCATAGGTAAGAGGATGGCAATTTGACCCCAGTCCCAGACAAAAACGAAAGACCCTACTGATTGAAAATTTAAGTGGATCAAGTAGTAGAGCTCCTAATAAATAAGCACAAGGCCCCAGTACTGAAAGGAAGGGCCAAGAGAGGAAGGGAGGAGGAGATGAGGGAAGGAACTGACTGGGAAGAGAGTGTAAAGGGAAGGGGAAGGAAAATGAAAAGGGAGGGAAAAGAGAAGGGAATGGAAAGAGCTGTAAGCAATCATATGCAAACCAGATATATGAATAACTATATCAAGCTCATGAAGTGGGACCAAACAGATGATGCCTCCAGATGCTGCTCACTGAGAACCTTTCATTCTTTAAAACAGAAAAAGCCTTAAGTCTCATCAAAATGCAGACAATGCTGAGATTAAAGATAAAAATTAAAGCAATAGGAGAATTCTAGACAAGACAATAAAAATGAAACTATGGAAATTTTTAAAGAGCAGTTCTAAATTTTATCTTGAAGAATAAATATGTAAAACATAGCCAGGGTAGAGAAAAGTGCAAAATCAAAAAATCTTGACCAAATGTATACAAAATGTGTAATTAAGTGATAGTAATTAAAGCTTATTGTAGCACTAAGTCTCAGAACATGGGAATTGTATAAAATATTAAAAGGGGCTCCAAAAATTATGTGAGAATTTAGCACATTATAAACTGGGCATGGTAGCACATGCTGCCATCCAGTTACTCAGGACACAAGACAGGAAGACTTTGAGGCCAGTCCAAGCAAAGTTAGCCAGACCCTACCTCGCAAACAAAATAGAGACAAAAAGACTGAAGCCATAGCTAAAGTAGTGGAGTCCTTGTCTAGTTTTCATGAAATACTGGGTTCAATCACCAATACTGCAAACAAAAAAATCAGATTTTACTATATTATTATCACTTATTAAATGGGAATTTCCAACTTGGAGAGTTCTTTTAGCTATCAAATTAAAATAATTATACAATGTATATATTTATTAGAAAGCACATTTTACAATTATTATACAATAAGAAGAAAAAACAAGTAAACTTACAAAACAAGAAAAATTATAAATGAACACATCTCAAACAACAACTATCCCTGGGGTGGTGGCACATACTTGCAATCAATCATGAGGTATCACACACATAAAACTGAGATTGAAGATTGAAAAACTGCAACTGAAACATATACAGCCAGGTGGGAATTAATATACTTCAAACATATCATGCAGTTTGAATTGCTAAGAACAAAAAAATGAACACTGGATTTTCAACAAAGGAAAGGCATACTAGCAAGAAAATAACAAACACAGAAAACAGGGACAAAAATGCATAATCAAAAACATGAGGAAAAGCTCGATATTGCTTATTATTAAAGAAAGAAAAACTAACCAATAGCCAGTAGGTAGAATTCAGAAAATGCTTTCAGAAATCAATTTCAGTTTATTATGCTTATACAACAAGCCCTGTGAGGCTGGGGGGTTTTTGTTGTTGGTTTTGTGTTTTGCCATTATTTTTCAATTTAAAAATGAATTCTAAAATGGTGTTGTCATTTTTTAGTCCCCGAAAACACTGTTCATTTCAGAACCTAAAATATCCAATGCTATGTAATACAATTACATTTAGAAGCCATGCTGTTCAGAGATAATCAAGTTTAAGTGAAGTAGTTGTGAACAGTGCTCCCATTACCTCTGCAAATGTTAACAGCTTTTACTTGCTGCCATTTGTGAAATTAACTCTTGAGGACAGGCCACATGGAGATTTAATATGATTTAAGCACAACAGGCCTCAATCTCAATTTGCTAATTCCATTTATGTCCTAGAAACCTGGATAAAAACCCTCACTCATTGTAATGACTTAGAAAGCTTCCAGCTCATTAAAAAAAAAATTT